TAAAAATACTTCAAATGTTGGCTCTCCAACCCTCTGCATTTTTGGAGCAGATTGCTTTTTCAGGCTGCCAGCGGAATATGAAAATTCCTTATACATCCTGTGCTTCCAGCATAGTTTGTGAAGTATTCCTTGGCAATTCTAACAAAAACACATGAGGGGAAAAGTGACTTTTCTCTTCTTTCCTATCAGATAGTAGTAGCTTCTCACATAATGAACACTTTATAGTACGGAGACAGTCAGGCTAGGTAGAGCTGCTGGTTCCCCTTTCTTGATAATTTGGTGCAAAATCAGATGTTTTAGACGGGGGGCTTTCTTTGCTTGCATGCCCCAACCCATCTGCCTTGTTACATGGCTGCTTATATTTAAGCAAGTGATACTTATGGGTGAAGTCCGCTCTCACTGCCCCCCACCCCCAACCCTGCCCCAACTTTAAAAAGTTCAAACCTAAAGGCAGCTGTCCGTTCCCCCCCCCCCCCCGCCAATATACCCCTTGTGTGCTCTGCCAAAATTCTTTTCTCATTAGGTTCTTGACACCCAATAAGAGGCTCGGTCACATTTGTAATAATTATAAATGCAGTTATAATTGTTACTGTTTTAAAACAAGGGGGGGCGGTGTGGAACATTTAAGTCCCTTTCTTATTTTAGGTAAAACATGAGGTATGAGGCAGAACAAGTTGGGCAAGCTAGTGAGAAGGAATTACCGGCTCTCTGGACGGGGAGTGCGTGTGGATTGTCCATGTACCTGTGAAGGTATAGTCCTGTGAAAGGTTCAGGAGCTGCAGGGGTGTGGTCACCTTCCTCTGGACACCCCCTCTGAGGTTCATGCCATGTGCCCGTGGTTTGGATGGGCCGGTGAGTTTCTACTATTGGTGGTTCCATGCCAGAGATGGAGGAATCCCAATAAGACATAAATGGAAGACTGCTAGGACACCCAAGAGCCATTCACCAGCATCTTGAGGGAGAGAACTTCAGGATTCTCCCGATGATTGCTTGAAGAGCTCTATGTGTAATGAATCAATGGGAAAAGGATTTCCTTTTTTTTTTTTTTTTAAGATTTTATTTATTTATTTGTGAGAGAGAGAGAGAGAGCATGAGCAGGGGGAGCGGCAGGCAAAGGGAGAAGCAGACTCCCCGATCCCAGGACCCTGGGATCGTGACCTGAGCCGAAGGCAGATGCTTAACTGACTGAGCCACCCAGGTGTCCCCGGGGAAAAGAATTTTTGTTTGATGCTCTTTTTTTCTTTATGAAGCACTCCCTATGTGCCATTCATTTTTAAAACATTCATTATTGATTTTGCCCAGAGTGAAAAACCAAGAAGCTGGTTTCCAACTGTCCGTGGCAAAGCCGCCGGCTTCCATGATGGTGCCTGGGAGGCTGCTAAGGGAGAGGTCCAGGGGACCTGGCCCAGTGCTCCTGGTACTGCTTCCACCAACACTGGGCCACCTTATCTCCTTCCCATGGTGGCAGTTTACTTAAGACTGTGTTTTTGTAGAATTCCATTGCTTGACAAATGTTTGAATGCCATCACTTTAGGGAATTGCTGTTTATGGCGCCCAGAAAAATAAATCACTTATTTTTGAAGAATCATTTTGGATTGCTCACATCTCAAAGAGATGAAATATGTGACCTCCTTCCTCTGTCTCAGTCACAAGCACTGCCTTGTTTGGAATGCTTGGAATTTTTGTTGCTGTGGTTTTAACAAGACAGGTCTCTGCTTTGGAAAAGGCTTTTGTCATAAAAATATTTTTATATATAACATATACTTTAAAAAGTTGTATATATATAGTAAACTACTTTATTGAGGTGTGATTGACAGACAAGAAGCTGTACATATTTAATGTAGAAAACTTGATGAGTGAGAAGATAAATATATGCCTGGGGAACAGCATAATGCCTCTATTTAACAATGCTATATTGTATACTTAAACATTTGCTAAGAGGGTGGATCTTATGTGAAGTGTTCTTACCACAAATACATGCACACAAGTAATAATAAATAAAGGGGGCAGGAGGAAACTTTTGGAGGTGATAGATATTTTTATATTTTTTTAACTTTGATTTGTAACTCACAAAGTAAGGAGTGAACACTTAATGTGTATATGGCAAGAGACAAGATTATGTTTCAGATGGTCACAATGAACACAGTTTCTAGTTCTGCCTTCAAAAGACTATTGCTAAGAGATAATCTAAGAAGTAGTCAATTATGTCTTCATTTCTCAAGTGTTACATATGTCTTTCTAAAAAATAAGATAGAGGCAACTGGCTGGCTCGGTAGAGCACGCAGTTCTTGGTCTTGGGATCATGAGTTCGAACCTCACACTGGGGGTAGAGATTACATTAAAAAATTAAAAAATAAAAAATAATACAGGTTGAGACTGTAAAATAATTGACTTTGTTGAAGAATACCCAGATCTCCTGTTAGATTGGAACAACAGGATCTACCTATTCATAACTGCTTCCTCCAAATGGGCTCTTTGTGTAATTGACATTTGTGGTGTTGGGTGGTTCAGCCTGTGTCATTCCTGTCTTCCCTCCTCAGGAAGCATTTACTGGCGGCATTTCTTCTTCTTCCTTTTACCTTCTCCTTTCTTCTTCTTCTTCTTCCTCCCTCCTCCCCCTCCTCCCCCTCCTCCTCCTTCTAAAATTGTATTAAGTTTTAACATTTTAATTCCAGTGTAGTTAAAATATAGTGTCTTGGAGAAACAAACAGGTGATAGTTGTCTTTGCATAAACTGGGAAGAGGAGAGAGGCAAAAATCACTCATTTTTACTCCTAATTGACCCTAAAGAGAGATATTTTTTTTTAACTTCAAAACACTGAATTTGATAGGCATGTTGATTTGCTCTTGGATGAGAGCTCATTAATAGTTAACCAAATAAGAACACCATGTCTTAAACCTTATTGGGCCTTTCCCAAGAAATATTATGGAAGCCAATCATTGGTTAGCTTCCTATTCAAATTTATTTTTAATCCTAGAAGTCTACTACTACTCAGGGAGTAGGTGAAAAACTTTAAATATTTCAGGTTAGTAGAGTTAGTAACTATTGATTCTTTCTGGTATGACATTAAGATAGTGCAGTTAGATCTCATAGATATTTTTTCCTTCTATCCAATCCAATTTGTCTTGCCCTCCCTTGATTTTGTACTTTTGTACCTATACGTTGAGACGTAAGCCACTGTGGGGCTATGTAACAAATGCCAAACATGTAATTTCTTTTGCCCAAAAATGGGGACAGAAAGAGTCTGGTTCTGGTAGGGGGAGAGGCTGTTTACAATGATTTCTGTGGCCAAATTTATTAGAATTGGCCACAGTCTTTTAAAGTAGTAAGAACTTTAGGATTTTGCGTCTCTTTAATTAGAACGTGGAATTTCTTTTTTTTTTTTAAAGATTTTATGTATTTATTTGACAGAGAGAGATACAGCGAGAGAGAGAACAGAAGCTGGGGGAGTGGGAGAGGGAGAGGCAGGCTCCCCGCGGAGCAGGGAGCCCGGTGCGGGGCTCGATCCCAGGACCCTGGGATCACGACCTGAGCCGAAGGCAGACGCTTAATGACTGAGCCACCCAGGCACCCCTGGAATTTCTTGATATGATCCAAACTATAGATTATTTTCACAATTATTTTACCTCTTTTAAAGATCATCTGAATAAAAACAAGTGGAAAGGCTTCAGCTCTACTTTTTATTTTTCATTGTAGAAAAATCCTTTCTATAGTCATGCCATGTTTGGAGATAGATTTCACTCTCTACAGTTTCCGTGACCTTATGGTACTTGAAGTCATGGGCTTTTTGTCTCTTTCTCTCTTTTTTATCCCTCTCTCCTTCCCCCTTCCCTCTCTCCTTGTTCCATCCCTCCATGTAATATCCGCTTGTGAGGCAGCTATGACGTAATGGACCAGGCACTGGGCTTGGTCTCAGAAGATGGAGGTTTGAATTTTGCTCTGCTATATCCAAGCTCTGAGAACTTTGGCAGATTATTTAACTTCTTAGGACCTCAATTCATCTATAAAATGAAGGAAATGATCCTCATGGTTGCAAAAGTTGAAATGAAATGACGTATGTGAAGGAACACAACACTAATGCCCTGTTGAAAAAAAATTTATTGGTATAAAATATACATGACATAAAACCTACCCTTTCAATCATTTTAAGTGTGTAATTTGGTGGCATGAAGCACACTCACAGTCTTGTGCACCCATCACACTATCCATTTGCAGAACTTTGTCATCATTCCAAACAGAAACTCTGTACCCGTGAAATGGTAACTCTCTGTTTCTGCTGTCCCAGCCCCACATTTCTACTTTATGAATTCGACTTGCTAGGTACCTCACATTGATGGAATCACACAATATTTGCCCTTTTGGGTCTGGCTTCTTTCACTTACCATAACGTCTTCAAGATTCATCCATACTGTAGCGTGTGTCAGAGTCTCATTCCCTTTTAAGGCTGAATACTATTCCATTGGATGTTTATATCACATTTTGTTTATCCATTCATCTCTTGATGGGCATTTGGGTAGTTTCCACCTCTTGGCTCTTGTGAACAATGGTGCTAGGATCCTGGGTGTGCAAGTATCTGTTTGCATCCTGGTTTCAGTTCTCTTGGGTGAACACCGAGAAGTAGAATTGTTGGATCATATGGTAATTCCTCGTTTAATTTTTTTGAGTGATGTCCTATTTTCAAGTGTCTTTTTTTCTTTTTTTGATCTGTTGGATTGTAGCGATGCAACTCCTAAATGGTGTGTTTGTTCCTTGTGGTCTTTTCATTCCTGTAATTTACACGAGAGGAGGCAGGGTGGTGAGGTTGTAAATGTCAGGACGCCAGAAGCACCTTGCCAAGGTGCCAAGCTCTGGAGCCCACAGTTCTGAGAAGGGCCTTTGCTGTGTGCCTAGACAGCATGGAAGGTGAAGGTTTGCCCTGGTGGGGCCCAAATGTGGTGAATGAATATAATATTCAGCTGTATGAATGACTATAATATTTTCTGCTTTGGACCTTCCTGTAGGGATTGAGGAGACCTGAAGAACGCCAAGGACAGGCTGATGGGCTCAGGTGGCAGGTTCCAGCATCTCACCATGAGCACCGAAAATCCAACGGCGGGAGACTTGGCTCCAGCTCCCCTTGTCACTTGCAAGCTCTGCCTGTGTGAACGGTCCCTGGACAAGATGACCACACTCCAGGAATGCCGCTGCCTCTTCTGCACAGCTGTGAGTGTTCCTTGATGCTTTCATCGTGAGCGTGAGAAAATACAGACGGGGGTTGGGGGGAGCACTGTGAAAGGGCAGGACCAGCTTCCGTTTGCGACAACAGCCTTCTGTTTTAGAGAGCGCTTCCACCTTTGGATCTGTCTCCAAGTAGTATCTAGAGTGGTAAATCTGGTATTTACTGGTTTTGAGGCAAAGGATAATGTATGTGTGAAATTTAATTATTGGTTAAATAAGCAGAATCTGTTCTTCAGGGACTAGGCAAGGAACAAAATAGAAAGATTTCTAACAAGTCTTAGTTAACTACCATCGGTAAGGCATTCGTCAGGTATTTTGAATGATGGAGAAAGCAGGTAGCAATTTATTGAATTTTCTTGCATAGACTTGCTCATCTTCTACAAAGCACATGAGATCTAACTCTTTGACTTTGTCATATCTTCTTCTTTTTTTTTTTTTCTATTTTCCCACTATGCCGGATGGTACTTATTTGTCATAAACAAGAGAAGCCTGTAGATCTCCAGGGATGGGCTTGTCTCTTTTATTCTGACACTTGATATCAATGTCTGTGACCCCGATCGTACGGATCCCTGAAGGTTGATTTGTTAACGTGTGAAGATAGGAAACAGGCTGATAGATTCAAAGTGGCTGCTAGAAGCATGAACCCAGGTGGTTTTACTCAAATTTTCATTTATTCAAACATCTTTTGAGCTCCTACCATGTACCAGGGACTCTGCTGGATGTTGGGAATATAGCGGTGAATGAGATGCTTCCCACAGGGAAGATGGACACATTGAAGGAGCCATTCGAGTTTACTGAAATCAGGGGAAGCTCGATGTACCAAAGGAATGTCTCACCCACGTGGGGGTGGGAGGGACATCCTGGTGGCAGTGATCTCTGAGCTGAGGCTTTAAATAAGAGTTGCAAATGGATGCTCATGGACCGTGTTTGGATCCCCAGTTGGGGTATTTCATGAGAAAATGAAAAAGTGGTAAGATATAGCTACTCTGGGCCTATATTGATAGGCCCAGAAATAGATGATCTTAAAATTTATTTATTTATAATTTCTTTTTATTTATTTTAAAGAGAGAAAGCGAACAAGCACACAGGTGGGGAGAGGGTCAGAGGGAGAGAACCCCAAGCAGACTCCACGCCCAGCACAGAGCCTGACACAGGGCTCAATGCCGCGACCCGTGACAGCATGCCCTGAGCTGAAACCAAGAGTCGGACGCTCAACCGACTGAGCCACCCAGGCGTCCCTCCTCTGTTTATATTACCTGCCTCTCTCCTGTTTGTATTTGCATCAACTATACTTTTAAACTGAACATGGATTAAGACTCATGCAGGATGCATGCTGGGATCTTGGCATGGCAGAGGCCTGATGCCTGAGTTACAATATTTACCATTTATCTTTGCTTTGGTGGGCCTCATATGGGCAGACTGTTAATATTTATTATACAAAAAGTATAATAATCACCAGACAAAGGCGGGTTTAATGCCCTGACTTGAGAAGGAAATTGAATTGTTCAGTTACAGCGACCAGTGCTTATATCAAGGGGAGCAAGGAGAAAGGAATCGTTAAGGAAGTAGAATCATTTATCAAGAGGTGTGTTTACTAAGCATACTTTAAAAAAAAAAAACAGATAAGTTAAGGTGAAATAAATTTTATTCCGTCTCTTTCCGCTTAATTTAATCAACACGACATGTTCTCAAGCTTGTGTATATCAATTAAAAAATTTTTTTTGGATTAAGGATTAGGGTAGGGAAGAGCCTTGGGAATATTTTTAGGTAAAAGGAAAGTGACTAAAATCCTTCCCTCAGGTCTCCAATTCTGAGATCCAAAGATGATAGTGAGTAGTATTGTTTATCCATTTGATCATTTGGTCCCCACTGAGCCGTACCATGTCCCAGGAACTGTTCTAGGCACTGGGATTTAGGAGTTTAAGAAACAAAACCCAGCAGAGGTCCTTGCTCTTAGGAGGTTGCATTCGATCAAAGGCAGTTGCATAATAAACAATAAACATAATAAATGGGTGAGTTATACAGGATTGGGTAATAGGGCTTTGGGAAGAAGCAGAGCAGGGCGAGGGAGGGGGAGCTGGGAGCTCAGGTCGGAGATACTGCATTTCTCGTCGGGTGTCGGGACGAGGCCTTGCTGACATCTGTGCTGGTTCATCCTCTTCTCGGCAGCCTGTGTTGCTTAAGGAAGTGACCTTGTCACCCAGGGGTGGCTTCAGTTTCCTTTGGTTTTGCTTTGCTGCCGAGGGCCGTGCCTCCAGAGGGATTATTTCTCTGACTTTCTCACCTATGTTTTGGACCCTTGCCTAATCCTTGAAACAAATGAGTCAGAAGCAACGCTTGGTTAAAGGCAGGATGGAAATTTTTTTCTCGGGATGACTGATGTTGAAAAAGCAGGATCTGGAATTGAGTTTTTGCAACGAGACTAAGCAGTTCAAGATTCCAGTTTGTGCACCAGCGTGTCTCTCTCTCTCTCTCTCTCTCTCTCTCACACACACACACACACACACACGTACGTGGTATCTGATCCTGTCACAAGCATTTTTGCAAGAGCTCTTAGTTCCCAGTTAAAAACACCACAGCGGCTTCTCAGTTCTCCTTTGGCAATTTGACGGTAGGCATTAGCACAATTAGATTATTCCGTCATCTGCGATCATACTTCCTCATTGTTGGGGAGGGAATGCTCCAAACCAGAACGTCAAATGGCTTGGTATTTTTGATATCCCTCCAAGTCTGGAACTTTTTGTGCCTATAAACATTAACCTTCCCTGGCTTCCTAATACCCCGTTCCCTGTGATCTACCAAAACAGTAAAGCTGCATGTACTTGATTACATTAGTGTCTGCAAATTTGCAATTGGCATCAGACTCACCTGAAATACTACTCTAACTTTTTATTGTTTAGACCTTTTATTTCTTCTTTTAAAAAGCTATTAAAGGATGTGTCTGATCCCCCAGATTTTATTTTTTTATTATTTTTATTTTTTTTTAAAGATTTTATTTATTTATTTGAGAGAGAGAATGAGAGAGAGAGAGAGAGAGAGCACATGAGAGGGGGGAGGGTCAGAGGGAGAAGCAGACTCCCCGCCGAGCAGGGAGCCCGACGCGGGACTTGATCCCGGGACTCCAGGATCATGACCTGAGTGAAAGGCAGTCGCCCAACTGACTGAGCCACCCAGGCGCCCCTGATCCCCCAGATTTTAGTTTGCACTTAAATATTAGGTATTAAATATTGATATTAAAGATATCAAGTGTGTTTTGTGTTTTCAAGGCTGAAAAGAAATTTGTGACTTTGTTTTTTGAGGATTTTATATATTTATTTGAGAGAGAGAGACGGAGACTGCATGAGCCGGGGGGGAGGGGCAGAGGTAGAGGGAGAAACAGACTCCCCACTGAGCAGGGAGCCCGACTCAGGGGCTCGATCCCAGGACCCTGAGATCATGCCCTGAGCCAAAGGCAGACAATTAACCGACTAAGCCACCCAGGGGCCCCTTGTGACATTTTTTAATAGGGCATATACTATTAATTTCCAGCTTTAAATATGATTGGATGACATCTCCTAATTATTGGCTGGGAAAGACATCTTGTGCATTCCATGTCTTTAAAATAGTTTTGCTGAGATAATTCTCCCTCGCCTCCTCATTAGGAGGGTGACCAAATGGAATGGTCCTCCTGCTGGATCCAGTATACTTTCATAG